TTGGGTCATGGCAACGACCAACTTGAGTTTATGTCATCGCTATGGCCGGAGGCGATGTCACCTGCGAAAAAGGGCTGCAGCGTTGTAGGCGGTCGTTAACAGACGAGACTACTGACGGCATCCAGAAACATCAAAATGGCAAAAAGAACCTCGTAAACAAGGCGTCATCACGCAGACCTAGAACACCAGTCGAAGAATACACGGAACCGGGCCGCTGTTCGTGGATTCGGGCCATCTACCGCTACGCCCCGGTCCGGCGAAGGAATGACGGGGGCATCTGGAAAGTTTTGAGCCGTATTGAATAGAATAAGAATTTTAATGAGAAACAAGCTCATACAGGAACAAGTCAAGATGGGAAATGAATGGGAGAGGTGCACGCTCCGGGCACCGGCAGTCCAGTGCGCCGCTTCCTCGCTCCCGCAGCCGTTGCTGATATGAATGAAAGATTAAGACTTGTTCCAAGCTCCCATTCATCTTCGTAAGAGAGTGCCCGCTCGCAGACGCCGCCGCCGGTCTCTTGGAGCAGAATTGCCGCTTCTCGACCGAATCACACCGCGACCTGTTCCCTTATCGGACAAACCGTGGAGCGCCCTTGGGCAGTCCGTGTCTGCTGTACACTTATTGTCTCTAGAACGGAGGCGGGTACATACGACTTTTCTGAAGGACCGACTAGACACTGGACTCCAGTGAAAGGGGGGAGAGGGGGAAACGAGGCGTCGCGTCCAAGGACGGCTCTGGTTTTCGATGAACGCAAAATTCTGCGCTGAGAGAGTTCCCGACTTCAAATGATCCGTGATCTTCCGATAAGTTCGAGAAGTTTTCGAGCCCACAAGTCACCTCCGATCTCGTATCTAGCTTTTCAGGTCGGAGAGGATTATAGGGAACGAGCTGACGGACGGACAAACAAGCTGCTGGTGCTTCGGTAGGGACTTTGTCGAGCGCTATCGCTACTCACTGCGGGTTCGCTCGAGATATTCAGCGAGATAACTCGTCGAGCTCCCAGTAATGAGGGTTCGCCCCTTTTTCGTCGCGATTCCGGAACAGGGATCCGGGCTCTGAGCGGCCAATTCTCGACCATGTTCCTGACGTCGCGGAAGCAGATCCGCTTCTATCGGAGACGGATCTTCGATATAACTTGAGTAATAGCCCCAATAGAAATTTTGAAGGCTCAATGAAGAGCGAATTGCGGAAACGACGACGCGTCGAAGTCGGCCGTGGAGCGTGCAGAGAGAACTTCGAGTGGAATTAAAAATGGCGCGGATTAATATCTGTCAGACATGAAGTATTCAGATATATTCTGAGCTGAAGAGTCTTTTGAAGATTATGACGGCCCCTCGCGTAGCCGGCACGGCCTTATTCTCCATTCAACCGGAGTGGCGCAATATGTCACTGGGCTCCGCAACTTCCTTCGAGAGGCCTGGAGAGCAAGACTACGCAAACGTAGTCCGGCGTCCCGAATAATTAGGACCGCGACGAGCCGATAAGGTGATTTGGGAACATATTCAGCTCTCGGCCACCACTTGCCGCTACTTTCTCCGCCTCGCCGGCCTGCCTCAATAAAACAGCGGAATTCTCCGCGCTGCGACTGCGGTGCCAATGATTTTCCTTTGAACTCCCAGCATAATCGACCCGGTCGTGTCGCGACGTTCCGCTACGACCTCCGTCGTAAGCTATCGCGGCTCCTGAATACGTTGCCAAGAGACATTCCGGAGGGAAACATCCAATTTGCGGCACCATTCTCATGGTGAGAAGAATCGTCCCGTGCGGCTGTCGAACACAATATTTCGAGGTTACGGTGTCGAGCGAGAACACACATGTACGGTTTGGATATCCTGATAGACAAGTCGAGCCTGCCGAGGGAATTGGCCGGTATCTCTGACTCGGATCAAATTCGGAATCATCAGTCCGTCAGTCCGGAGCGGATTCTTCCGAAAACTCCGCAGTCGAGGTCACGGTGCTCTGCGGAATTCAACTGAGTTCAGACGCGAGAGGCGGTACCGGGGAAGAATCAATGATTTATTCTCTTCTTCCGATTTCGCCTCGAGCCATCCCTTTGGGTCGCAGAAAAGCGCGATCCGCTGATATCCAAACAATCGAGACTATCGCTTTCTACGAGATCCCGCCTGAAACCGAAACGGATATGAGACGTTCTCGACGCTTTACGAATCGACTGCTCCATTCCTCAAGAGCTGCTGCCTAAGAGGTTCACTCCAGACACTTTTAGCATGAGCTCGCTGATGACCAAATGAGCGAATAGTTCTGTTTTTTCGCAACTCGTGTGGATCCGAGCGAATATTCTCTCCCAGCAGAAGCCTCCGACTCACCGCAGGAAAGGAGCTCGGACGCCCTCGATCGACCGAACTGTTTCGCGATGGGTTAATTTTGAAGCTTTCGAATTCGGTGGGGAGCCGTCTTTGGAATAACGGTTCGCCTGCGATTTCTCCGGATTACCCCCTTTCCACATTGGCCCTATGGTCCCTGTCGGTTCGTCCCATGGTGGGAGTTTGTACCGGGATCATCGATCGGGAAAAAGGCGTACTTTTGATCGCGACCTCTACCACGGAGTCGCAGCAGCCGGAAATGGTGTCGATTCGAATTTCTTGGTCGCTCTCGAAGTTTCAGTTCCTCCTCCGTCAAGGCGATGCGGGATATCCGCAGTTTTATCTGCATTTTGTCGCCGAATTGACCCCGAGGACTCATCAGTCAGGGTACAAATCGCTAACTCAGGAAGTTGGTGCTCAAAATCGTGAATGGGAGGATGAGTCAATCCACTCGATTGGATGAGTCGATCCGAATACCGGATTGACGAGATGACCGCCCCGGAAGCTTGAGGCGGATATTCCTTAGTATATCGGGACATACCGAGTCTTTGACATCAATCTCAATTTAATCCACTACTCCGCCATATGCGGCCAGATTTCATCTTCAATATATGCTTCATGTAGAGAAAGCGTCCTGGCATGGCCTTGAAGGCAGACTTCAATACTTCATTCTACATGGAGACTAAACCAGAGAAGACTCGACTCGAGTGAAACAGCATCGTGTCTACCTGGTTGGGGCCTCGCTCCTTCCAGGCTGGAGGCCCTGAGGGCACTTTCTGAGAAATTCCCCACGGAAGATATTTTCGTCATCTCTGGACCATGCTATAAGCCCTGGGAATGTTCTTCGATCTTCCGTATATTCCACATGCACGATGGTGCCGCTCTCAGATCGACATCCATTGACGCTTCGGCGACGGTGAGGAAGAAAGAGCAGGCCGATGGCACGATTGGCTTCGTGCCAATGCTCGGTGGACGGTGGAAACTCTTGTCTCCACTATGTGTCAGTCGTTTTTTCCTCGGGGATGAGAATATCTGGAAAGAACAAAATTCCCTGGACGCCCTGAAGCTCCGAAGACAAAGCACAGGGACACGGAGAGACCGCGATTGCTTGAAGACAAACATCGGTTCGCATCGACCGAGGAATTTAATCGAAATCGTGAGCTCGGAGAAGAACAGGATGAGATCATAACAAAAACGTCAAGACAACCGTCTCGCGTTCGCGATTCCGCACTCGATGTGGGCTCCGGCTTGCGTAGCAGATTTTTAGGGGGCCATGTGGCCACAATAACGAAAGCTCCTCTTTGTTTATCGAGTTTTTAGGTTCCCGAGTCTGGCTGCGTTCGGGATAAATTAAATTCTTCCATGCTCTGTCTGTGGGTGAATCTTTCTCCATCATCTTTCCTCCAGGTTCCTCGATTGGAGACAAAAGGGTTTCTCTTGCCTCGAGTTCGCGGAGGCTCCCACGTCCGCCCGCTCAGCCGACTGGCCATTGTTCGCTTGGTCGATGCTTGCCACGGAGAGCTAGGTACGAATCAGCAAGCAATTTTCCACAAGACTTCATTCCAGGCTCAATGGTCGATCCCTCGAGAAAATGCCCCAGCCTTTGCGAGAAGGGAGCAGGATCTGCCACCATGCGCAGAAACACGATCGACCGCGAAGAAACAGTGTCCATTATAGACCAGAGCGTAAGTGACCATGAACCGCTGAATGACCACGATATAGAACTGACAGAGCACGGCTCTTGTCTGATGAGGCTACCTGTCGATTCGCGATTCGGTACAGCCATGACCCGCACCACACTTCATGCTCGGTGAATAGAGAGCCAGTCTTCTTTCAGCGGTCGGGACGATTGAAGCCGAGATTTCCATCTCCGATAAAACGCCTGCACAGTTTGATCTCCAGTTTGCCGAGATGAACATCGAGCAGGTGGTCAGCCTTCTTATGAGTGGTGGTTTGCGGAGCTCGGTGCTTGCCCGCCGGAGAAGATCGAATGGACCGTCTTTTTTCTGTCCTACTTGAGCTAGGAATTCGAGGAGCACCGCAAGTCTATCCCTGCGTGGGTTTTTCCGTTCGGTCGGAGCCCATAAGTCTCGGACCCGAGCTCTTGAGTGATTACAGCGCCAACGAGCCTAATCGGACTCGGGGAAAAACTCCAAGAAGAAGCCTGACTCGGATTCGAAGCGATTGACCCCCATGGGCATGAGATCTGAGGCAGGTTAGGGAAAGCCCCGGTCCTGCTTGCATTCCAAGATGTTCCCGGACCCCCACCTCCCAGCTGTCCCGTCATACCGTCAAGGGAGCTAGCGGCTATGAATTTCCTGAACCTTTGACGTGACACAATACGTGAACGGAAGAGGTGTCTTTCGTCTCTCACCGACACTGTGTAAGGGAGTTCGAGTCTCAGGATGGGCGGTCCTTCAAGCCTCGAGTTCCCTCACTCTTCCCTTCCTCCTCCTGCACGTGGGTCGAAAACGGACCGGTGCCCAGAGACTCGGTGAGCTCTGCATGGGGTAGATGTGCGGCGTTGAGTCGTTTGTACGGCATGTTGCGCACAGCCGAACAGCTGGACAGCCGACGAGTGGACGGATCACCGACTACGTCATCGTCGTCGTCGTCGACGTCGTCGCCGCCGCCACCATCGCCGCCACCGAGACCGCGTATCAATGAAGCTTCGGGTCTATGAAATTGCGTGAAGTGTTCATCCCTCTACTAGAGCCGGAACTGTTGCCCGTTGCTTCCATGGACTATCCAGATTTACCGGCACCGGGCTCAGACGCTTGGTGTGACTTCTTGGCCGAATGGAAAGGCAATATCTCCAAATTTCCGACTCCTGTGACCGATGAGCTGGTGCAACAGTGTCTTCTAAACGACGTCTCCCGGGAATATATTGAGGCCACCCCCACCTACCAGTGGCTGGCTCTCGTGCTGCTAGTGATACCGTTGGCGGGAGTTGTCGGCAACAGTCTCGTGTGCATTGCCGTGTGGCAAGAGAGACGACTTCACAACGTGACCAATTTCTTCCTCGTTTCGCTCGCACTCGCCGATCTCATGGTGTGCCTCGCTGTGATGCCATTCGGCGTGCTAGAACTTTTCTACGGTGAGAAACTAGATATTTTTTCCCAGCAACTTTTTTACGTTCAGAAACACAGGCGTACCACCCCAGAGTGAAGTCGCACGGACGCAGGAGGGAGGTGGGGGGGGGCGATAATTGATGATGAGCGCACGATAATTCCGTGCGCATTCCAGAAACGATCTCCCAATAGGAGCCCCTTTGGATCGCTGAATTTCAGTCCTCACCGTAACTTGTCAGAAACGGCTAAGAAAATTCTGTGCATGATATCCCACAGTTCTTATATCAGGCTGAGGGACGGCATCCGCAAGATAGAGCCCTTGCGGTGATTCGAGAACGGTTTCCCTAGTACCTACGGATACGATCATCAGATAAGCGTCGTCGGCTCAGCGCCCGCTGGTCTCTCACTGAGGCTTTCCAATCGAGTGATGAAGCGTTACCAAATCGCGAATCGCAACGAGAGACCGAAGGTAAATGTACCCGGTGCAGGTCTACATTTGTGGGTCTGTCGCTTGTTGCTGCAACGTTCTCGGTCGCTCTTGATCAGCTCTACCAACGACGCCGTCTCTGCTTGATTACGAGTCATACCACTGAATTGAAACCTTCGCAATGTCTTTTGAAGACGTTTTCTTCCCGGAGGATATTATTCTGCCCAAGCGATTTGAATCTATAAAAGAATACGCAAACGGATCCGGCATCGTATCAGAATCCTCCAATCCTTCTGTCGAGGCGTCTCTCAATGACATGTGCAAATCACGATGCAGTTCTGAGTGTTTCCGACTCGGCGGGGAACATCTGAGGCGGGAAATTGAGGCCTAGCGCTGAGAACCCTCTTCTAGTCTAGTCGGTCTTCAAAAAACCGAATCGTTGGAAGCCGCAAACCGCCCGGTCCGCATGACGCGACCTTGTGCCCCTCATCAGAAAGTTTCTCCAAACTTCGAAAATTTACGATGCTCCCACCGAAAGCCATCAATCTCGTGAGAAGACTTCACAGAGCGGAGCCTCCACTGATCGGCAATTAAACGAGAACGGCGCTAATCCCGGAAATTTGAATGCTGTGGGCTGCTCTCGCACGGCACAAAGCTCGCGTGTGTCCACTTTCGGTCTCGGGCTCTCGTTGAACCCTCCCCGGAACTCTAATCAGCCTTACGATCCATGACTCCGGTTGCGAGCTCGACAATTCACAGACCGTAAGCACTCATTCTCGATTCGCGAATCGCGTGGATAAGCAGCAGGTCGGTCGGAGGAAGATTTGTATAGGATTCGGAGCAAAGTTCGGTAGAGACGTCTCGAACGATACTCACGTCTACTGCGAGTATACAAATCCAGAAAAGCGTGACGTCGAGGGCGATCTCGTTTCTCACCACGAAGTTTCCGAGCAGGCTATATCTACCTAGCGAGTAAACCGACGACGCTGTGAGGTATGGAGAGCACTTCGTTCCGCGATCTCATTGAAACACGCGAAGAGTTAGAAGTTCCCTGGAGCTCTTCTCCAACTCCTGCTAGGGAAACGGTTCTCTTCCTGATCTCGGTTCGCATATGCTTCGAATTCGAGGCGAATCCCGAATCGAAAATACTCCCCAGCGGGCACCCGGATCCCCCCACGGCGGTTCCGGAGGAATGAGAACACTGGCCTTCGGATTTCGCAGGGAGCGAACGATAGTTCCTCAGTGTCGAAGGAAAGAAGACCAGAGAGGCGTGCCGCCGAATATGTGCCGGCGCGTCAACCAGTCGATGTATAGATGATTCGATGCATACCAAGGAGTCATTTGAAACTCGAGAGAGAAATCCGAGCTCTTCCTCAATGCCCCGGGCCATTCCAAGCGATCAAGCGATCAGTCGAGACAGTCGATGACAACGACCCGGGAAACTCTGAAGTGCGGCGGGGGCCTTATCAGCCTACCACTCCCCATCACCAGCGCTAGTCTGGCCGAGTCGTACAAGTCCCTCTCCCCGTCAACAGGGTCCTCCATACTCCGTCAGAAATATACTACATAAGTCAGGAATCACTGCGAGGAGTGGAGTAGTTATTCTACAGAGCCAGCGACCCGATGATGATCCATCCCGGCTGGTTGCAAGACGTCACTACAACGTACTTGTGTGCTCTCTCTTATGAGCACTTGTCCCGTTGTTTAGGGCGTGTAGTCAAGTGCTTCGCGCTCAAGCACGCTTGCTGTAGATTGTCGTTCGGTGAATCGAATGCTTCTGCAAGCAGCCAGGGAAGAGCATCCGACCTTCTGACGGCACACGGGTGAAGGGCAGCTCGTCGGATCTTTCGACTTTGATGGGAACCGCCTGTGGCTGACGAGTGATTTTTTTTCTATCCGAGAGCAAATCGAATAAACGCGCGCATGTTCCATAAGTCTCAATCAAAGTACGCATCAACGATTCGGCGACCGATAGGAACATGGCGACACCCCGCGTGACTCGTAGCGAGTTTTGGCGACGCGGAGTTGCTTCGGTGCAAACTTATTTTCCGGGGAAAAGAACCCACTCGGATACTCCCTCGGCTGACAGAAGAGCCGTTTCGGCAAGCTCATGAGCGAATAACACCCCACGAGTCTAACGCGGCAGTTGGCAAGAAGAAGCATTCGAGTCGCGAGAGCAGATGGCTTCCCGGGGAGCGAATTCTATACATTCGGTGTCGGTGGTTTCGCCGTGAAGCTGCTCGAATCGCTCTTCCACGTACCCCCGAAGAGACACTCGGCACTCAAGTTGACTTCCCTCTGGAACGCTGCCAGTCGCCAGAGCCTCTGGACCCGGCCGACGCGACGGCTCCCATGCCATGAAATGCTTAGAGCCTCCTGAATTATTGCCGCGATGGTGAACTGGGAACGTATGACATCCTCCTGATTCGCCTACTCCACTTGGGCAGGCGGCGGCTCATTCCCCCATGATGTGACGGAAAAATTAACACGGGTAATTTCACTCGGAAGTTTTGCTTCCACAGGATCGTTTACGCCGACGCCACGTCACCACAGGCGTCTTTCGACATGGAACATTCAAGCACGCTCCCCCAGCAGATAATTCACTTCAGATGCGCTACCCGGCTACCCCCAGTGCTACCCACTTTCTGTCTCAGCTCATGCTCCGCTTTTCACCTCGTGTTTCTTGCATGGAAGCTTCGGGGTTCGGGAATGGGTCGAATAGATGCGCGAAGCCCCCACCTTGATGACGTTCTAGGTCAAGGTCTAGGAATTTTGTCTCTCACTAGAACTCAGCATGGGCTCGAGTGGGTGTGTGCGAGTGCGGAAGGCCTGCAATTTCCTAGTTCGAAGTTTCGAAAGTTCTCCTGTAAACACAGTGGGGGAGGAGAATGAAGGGTAGATTCGACGTGTAGCGTTCCGACATGTTCCCGTGCGTCATGAACTAGCAACAAATCAGGAAACTTGAGACCTTGTGTTTTCGTATTTCTCTCTGACATTTTTCTGGATGCAGCCGCGGAAAATACTTTCCGGGAAATATTCAAAAAGTCGCGTTTCGAAATTCACTTGAAACCCGGCTCCACTGTGGTCTTCCGATTGCAAAACCTGGTCAGGCGGGAGCAAACTTTCTCCCGAATAGAAAATATATCACCATCAGTCATGAGCTCCGCCTGACGGTGATCGATGGGAGCACTGCCCGGACAGTATGGCGATCCGTCGAATTCGAACCTCGTTTGTTGAACTGGCCTTGCTCGGCTCCACGGAATCAACAGATCTTACGCAATCGGCGGCGTATTTGCGCATTTCCAATCCGTGTCTTCCCGCGTCACGCACGGCAATGCCTCGGAGCCGCTCCAAGTCTGACCAGACGTCTCGCGGGGGTTGTGGCAATAATTATTCAAGATCTGCGCAGACCATTCAGAAAGAATGATTTTTTTAGAAGGAGAACAGGATTAGAGCTCAATCATGGCCCAGGACTGGCGATCATCTTGTGCGATCAGATCGCAGTAGGAAGAAGCATCCCGTGTGTTGTTTGCCGCCACCTGGAAATCAGTGACATATCTTCGCTCCGTCGTCACCGTCAAGAAATCATCACATTACTTTCCTTCCTTCGTCCTTCCGACGTGGGAGCGCGGCGATCCAGTTCGGAGGAGAATGGGAACGTTTGATGTCAGGTGACGAATGCGGCCGGAACACCGAATGAACTTTCCTCGCTTGCCGCGGGCAAATGAGCGCGAGACAACTGTAATAAGACATCGATGGTAGGGAGATAGTCTTGGTCCCCCTGGGAATTCGACCTGCAAACGTCTAATCGGGTCATCATGGATATGTCGCTGTCGGACGTCAATCTGCGTGAAACGACAATTAACGTGCCGAATAACAGGAGAACCACTCCACACCTGCATCAGGCTAAACTGTCGATGCGAGAGGACTTTGACTGCTGATATACTTGACTCGGAGCCATTCCGCTTTTTATATCCCAGCTTTATAGGCTCGCCGTCGCACGGAGAGGGAAAAAACTGACGGTGAACGATCAGAGCTCTATGGCGCACTTCGGGGAAACCGACTCGGCTCGCACACGTTCGATCAACCTAAAATTTGTCCCGAGGGAGCCAAGCTCAGGATAGAACAAACTCGACCGTGAAATTTCAGAATAATCCATTCTGCGTGCCGGGCGTCACTCATTTCCTCACCACCTGGGCTCCGCCGCCGCCTCGTTTATCCTCGTTCCGAGATGAATCCCAGATAATTCCTTCCCGGGAGCCAACTATGTAGTGGGTGCGAGGGTATCAAATTCATCGCCCGGGAAAATCGGAGCTCAGAAGAATATCGCGGGAATCTCGAAGGCACAAGGTACTATGGGGATCACGATGTAGTTCCTTTTCTCTCGGACTCGAGTTCTCCTGGGTTATCTACCGAAGACTTTGAATGGAATCCCATGCTTGAGGTTGGAACCTCACGGGCGCGGCACCCCCCAGAATGAAGCGTACCCATGAATGAATCAAGGATCATTAGAAGCCTTGCCTCGGTCTCGCCTGTCACTTACCCTGAATCGAAGTCGAATAGCCAGCCTGGGAATTCCTCGTTCGGAGTGCATTAGAC